AGTTAAAGACAAAGAGAGGATTCTAAAGGCAGCAAGTGATAAGCAAAAGGTTACCTACAAAGGAACCCCCATAAAGCTATCAGCTGCCCTCTCAACAGAATCACTACAGGCCAGGAGGGAATGCCGTGAAGTAATCAAGGTCATGAAAAACAAGGATCTGAATCCAAGACTACTCTATCCAACAAAGCTGTCATTCAAAATAGAAGGTGAAATAAAGAGCTTCCCAGACAGAAAAAAAAAAAAAAAAAGGCTAAGGGAATATATTAGCACCAAATCAGCACTGCAAGAAATGTTAATGGGACTGCTGTAATTAGTAGAAGGAATAGGAAGAAAAATATAACCACAATAAACAAAAATGGCAATAAATAAGTACATATGAATAATCACCTTTAATGTAAATGGATTGAACGCTCCAATCAAAAGGCAAAGTAGTTGATTGGATAATAAAGCATGACTCATATATGTTGTTTACAAGAGACCCACCTCACAACAAAAGACTCACATAGGTTGAACATGAACGAATGGAAAGAAATCTTCCAAGCAAATGGAAAGGAAAAAAGAGCTAGGGTAACAATACTCATATCTGATCAAATAAACTTCTAAATGAAGGCCATAACTAGAGACAAAGAAGGCCACTACGTAATATTGAAAGATCTATCCAACAGGAAGATATAACCTTAGTAAACATATATGCACCCAACACAGGAGCACCAAAATATATTTTAAAACTTCTGGAAGACTTCAAAGGAGAAATCACAGTAATACAATCATAGCAGGGAACTTTAACATCCCACTGACATCACTGGATAGATCCTCTAGACAAAAAAATTAACAAGGAAACAGAGGCTCTAAATGATGCACTAGATCAAATGGATTTAATAGATATTTATAGAGATTTACACCTAAAAACTGCAGAATTTACATTCTTCTCAAGTGCACATGTGACATTCTCAAAGATAGACCACATGTTAGGATACAAACTAAGTCTCTACATGTTGAAGATTGAAATCATATCAAGCATCTTCTCAGATCACAGTGACATGAAACTAGCAATCAATTACAACAACAACAGTCAAAAACATTTAAACACATGGAGGCTAAATAGCATGTTATTAAACAATGGGTTACCAAGGAGATCAAGGAAGAAATCAAGAACTTCCTGGAAACGAATGAAAATGAACACATAACAACACAAAACCTATGGGATGCAGCAAAAGCAGTCCTGAGAGGGAAGTTCATAGCACTACAGGCTACCTCCAGGAAACAAGAAAAATTTCTAATTGACTATCTTCACAACTTAAAGAACTAGACCATCTGGACGAATTGGACAGATTTCTAGAAACACATAGTCTCCCAAAATTGAACTGGAAAGAGATGGAAAACTTGAACAGACCAATAACAACTAAGGAAATTGAACATGTAATCAATAAACTCCCAGCAGACAAAAGCCCAGGCATGGACGGCTTCACCAGGGAGTTGTACTGAACATTCAAAGAACTAACACCCATTTTCCTCAAACTATCCCAAAAAATTCAAGGAGAAAGAAGACTTCCAAAATCGTTTTATGAGGCCAGCATATTCTAATTCCAAAACCAGATAAAGATGCTACAAAGAAAGAAAACTACATGCCCTGGCCAGTTTGGCTCAGCGGTTAGAGCGTTGACCTGCGGTCCGGAGAGACCCGGGTTCGGTTCCCGCTAAGGGCACGTACTTCGGTTGCAGTTTGTCCCCGGCCTTGGTTGGTCGTGCAGGTGGCAACCACTCGATGTGTCCCTTCACGTCGATGTTTCTCTCTCTCTCTCTCCCTCCCACTCTATCTGTACAAAAAAATGGAAGAATATCCTCGGGTGAGGATTAAAAAAAAAAAAGAAAGAAAACTACAGGCCAATATCCCTGATGAAAATAGATGCCAAAATTCTTAACAAAATATTAGCAATTCAGATCCAGCAATACATTAAAAAAATTATTCACCATGACCAAGTGGAATTCATCCCAGAGACGCAAGACTGTACAGTATTCACAGATTAATAAATGTGATACACCACATAAATAAAATGAAAGATAAAAACCATATGATCGTATCTATAGACACTGAAAAAGGCATTTGACAAGATCCAGCACCCATTTCTGATAAAAACACTCAGCAGTGTGGGAATAGAGGGATCATATCTCGACATAATGAAGGTCATATATGAAAAACCTACAGCCAACATCATATTCAATGGGCAAAAACTAAAAGCATTTTTCTTAAGAACAGGAACAGGCCCTGGCTAGTTTGGCTCAGCAGTTAGAGCATCAACCCATGGACTGGAGGGTCCCAGGTTTGGTTCCCGCTAACGACACCTACCTTAGTTACAGTTTGTCCCCAGCCCTGGTTGGGGTCATGTGGGTGGCAACCACTTCGTGTGTCTCTCTCACATCGATGTTTCTCTTTCTCTCTTCCTTCCTCTCTCCCTCCTGCTCTATCTGAAAATAAATGCAAAAATGTCCTCAGATGAGGATTAAAAAATAAAAAGGACAGGAACAAGACAGGGATGCCCACTTTCGCCACTCTTGTTTAACATAGTACTGGAAGTCAGCCACAGCAATTAGACATGAAATAAAAATAAAAGGGGGATCCAAATTGAAAAGGAGGAAATGAAACTGTCATCATTTGCAGATGACATGATATTGTACATAAGGAAACGCTAGACTCCATCAAAAATCTACTAGATTTAATAAATGAATTTGGCAAGGTAGCAGGTAAAAATTAACATCAAGAAATAGCATTCTTATACAGCAATAATGAACTCACAGAAAGAGAAACTAAAAAGCAGTCCCATTTACTATTGCAGCAAAAAAATTAAGATACCTAGGAATAAACTTAACCAAAGAAGTAAAGGACCTACTTGCAGAAAACTATAGGACATTGAAAAAGGAAATAGAGGAAGGTATAAAAAAGTGGAAGCATGTACCTTGTTCATGGATTGGAAGAATTAACATCATTAAAATGTCCATACTACCCAAAGCAATCTATAGATTCAATGCAATCCCCATTAAAATACCAAGAACATATTTCACAGAACTAGAACAAAAACTTCGAATGTTTATATGGAACTGAAAAAGACCCCGAATAGCCACAGCAATCTTGAAAAAGAAGAACAAAGTAGGAGGGATCAAAATACTGGATATCAGGTTATAGGACAAAGCCACTGTAATCAAAACAGCCTGGTATTGGCACAAGAACAGGCAGATAGATCAATGGAACAGAATAGAGAACCCAGAAATTGACCCAAGACAATATGCTCAATTAATATGTGACAAAGGTGGCAAGAGCATACAATGGAGTAAAGACAGCCTCTTTAATAAATGGTGTTGGGAAAATTGGACAGCTACATGCAAAAAGTGAACCTAGATCACCAACTTACACCATACACAAATATAAACTCAAAATGGATAAAAGACATAAATGTGATTCGTGAATTCATAAAAATCCTAGAAGAAAATGTAGGCAACAAAATCTCAGACATCACACACAGCAGAATTTTCACTGATACAACGCCTAAAGCAAGAGAAACAAAGGAAAAAATGAATACATGGGACTACATCAAACTAAAATGCTTCTGCACAGCCAAACATACAACCATCAAAATGCAAGGGGAACCCAGTATATGGGAGAGCATAATTGCCAACAATACATCAGATGAAGGGCTAATTTCCAAAATACAGCGTATTCATACAACTCAACAAAAGGAAGACAAAGAACCCAATTAAAAAATGGGCAGTGGACCTAGACACCTCTCCAAACAGGACATACACATGGCCAAGAGACATATGAAAAAATGCTCAATGTCACTAATCATCAGAGAAATGCAAATTAAAATGACTATGAGGTATCACCTCATACCTGCCACAATGGCTGCCATCAACAAATCATCAAACAAGTGCTGGCGAGGGTGTGGAGAAAAGGGGACTCTAGTGCACTGCTGGTAGGACTGCAGACTGGTGCAGCCACTGTGGAAAACACTATGGTGTTTCCTCAAAAAATTAAGAATTGAACTGCCATTTAATCCAGTGATTTCACTTCTAGGAATATATCCTAAGAAGCCTGAAACACCAGTCAGAAAGAATATATGTACCACTATGTTCATAGCAGCACTATTTACAATAGCTATGATCTGGAACAGCCCAAATGCCCAGCAGTAGACGAATGGATTAAAAAACTGTGGTACATACACACAATGGAACACTGTGCAGCAGCAAGAAAAAAAGATCTCTTACCCTTTGAGATGACATGAAGGAACCTGGAGAGCATTATGCTATGTGAAATAAGCCAATCAGAGAAAAAACAAAGATCACATGATTTCACTTATTTGTGGAATATAATGAACAAAAAAAGCTGATGAACAAAGTAGACCCAGAGACATAGAAAGGAGTATGGTTCAGACTGAGAAACTTCAGAGGAGGGCGGCAGGGGGATCGTTTTATCTGCTGTTCAAATGCAGTAGAGCAAGATGATTTTTGTAAAGTTTATGATACAGTTGGCACCAGCTGTTAATTGCATATTATCTGAAGTCCTTGGATACATATTTTTGGAGATAGGGATTCTCAGATTAAAGTTATTTTCTTAGTAATTCCTGTGTGATGCCTCCTAACCGTCTAAGATGTGGTTAGAGAAGGAATATTTGACTGCTTACTGGTGAGTTTAAGACCCTAAAAACTAATGGTAGTGCTATTCTTGAGTAAAAGTAGTTAAAATACTACATTTTTTAAATGCCTTTGTTTTTCTATAACATGCTGAAATAGTTAAGCTTTACATTTTTAAGCAGTTTGGGAAAAAGAAAAACCCAACATTTTTCATGGAACATCTGTTACAATTTGAATATTTCATTGGCTAGAAGGTTTATTTATTTTTGATGAATTGACATCAAAAATATCTGGTGGAAAATATGCCCACTGTAATGACTTAGTCTAAGTATGACTACAGCCATAAAAGCTATTTCTTTCCTTTTTTGTTCCAGGAGATTTTGATGAGTTCACTCAAGATAATAATGACAGTATCTTGAAAAACATAGCAGATGATCTTCGGAATTGCTTACCTCTAGAAACCATGCTTTTCTCAGAACGTCTGGCCCTCCAAAAAGTAAATACATTATTATTAATTTACTCTTAGTGCTACTTGAGGATTCTCCAATTCTTCCCTAACCTCCCCGCCTGCTTTAAATAATTTTTTATTTGGTGCTTCAACCACGTTCCCATTTCTTTTGAGTCTCCAACCCTCTGGTTCCCCAATACTGTTCATTCAACAAATAACATTCTGTTTGCCAACCACTCAGCTGCCCCCACCCCAGGTCAAGGCCTAACAGTAATCTGATCCTGCCTACAGCACTGTCCTGGTTTTCTCTTCCTTGTTCCATTTCCCTGGCTTTTATCTATGGTGAAGTTTACCTCTTTGTTTCCTTCTCCTACTTTTGCACTATACAATTTTTGCTTATTTTTTTATTCCCTTATGCCTAGAATTAGTTCTCATTTTTCTTTTCCAGACAATCCCTCATTCAAGTCCTTTCCAATCCCAACTCCTATGGGATACATATGCTATAAATATTGTTTCCTAAAGTAAAGCTAATGATAATAATCTCTTCTCCCACTGATCTGAAGACAGCAGCCCTCCATATGGTTTTTCAGCATGTAAGTTCCTAAGCAGAGGAACTAAATCCTGTACATTTTTAATAGTGTTGTGCACATTGTGAACGCTTAGTAGATCTTAGCAAAAATTCACTCACTCAGAGTGGATTCTCAAAGGAGGAAAATAGTGGATAGTATTAAAACTGAGAGAAATATCTATAATACAGTTTGAGTGTTATTAATAAAACAGTCTTATTAGTATCATGATATATCACAATACATAAGATGAGGAAAACATATTCATTGCATGTTAATAATCAACCCACAATTTCCTATCCTAAAATAGTGTTTTTATCTTTCTTTCTTTCCTCCTGGTCTTTGTGCATGTTCATACATTTTAAATACTGGTAATATAGAGTGTGTGTGTGTGTGTGTGTGTGTGTGTGTGTGTAATATTGTAGGTTTCCAGGCAAATAGGTTGATATTTTACTATATTTAAGGTAGAAGGAATCAGATATTTTTTCTCTATAGCCACTTATTATTACATCATGTACCACCAGTATTAATAAAGGGCCACTATTTTTAAGCATGAAGTTTTACCAACGTTGTTATTATTTGAAAGCTTTGACTGTAGGCAAAGATTACTTGCTAAGTATTTTCATGGGTAAGTCACTGACACATGGGACTCGGATGATCTGGTATTAGTTTCCATCCTTACCCCTCTTACTAGGTATAGTCATTTCTTTGGAGAAATTTCTCTGGGTCAGTTTCTCTGTTTGTAAAATATACTGTTTTAGATGGACAAGATGGTCTCAAAATACTCCTTTCAACTGAAATTTTATATATTTCTCATGGCCATGTTTTATATCATTACAGATCAAAAAGTTGGCCACTGACAAAATGGCTCCCATTTGTATGACTTAATTGAGACTCATTACCTGAATGAGCAGGTGAAATCTATCAGACTTGAGTGACCATGCAAGATCGGGGCTTCTGATCTGTCATGGCAGAGCGTCTCTTTGACAAGCACACCCTGGGAGACAGTGATGAGAGCTGAGCCTTAGGCTGGCTTCCCATAGTCAGAGGAGTGACTTCCCTGGTCACCAAAGCAGTACGGGCATGTTAGAAGTACCTTTACCTTTTCTATAAGTTGTACCCAGTTATCCACTTATATTCTTTTATTTGTATCATTCCTTCAAATGAAGTAATTTAGTACCCCCACACCCCAAAAAGTCTCAGAAATAAAATGAAAGAAGAGCAGAGTTGCTGACATAAGCGAAACTAGTCTTTCTGTGTCTTGTTGCTGGCAGAATTTTAGCATATGAACCACTGATGTTTTGCCTTATTTAGCAATAAAAAGAGACTTCTTTGTACTTTGTTTCTTTTGATGTGTTTCTTCTCTCCACCAGATACAGCAGCGGCCAGAACCCACAGTTCACGTTGATGCATTCCTTTATGATGAAGATTTTATTGATTCATTATGTGAGGAAGGAAAAATGAGCAGAAACTACTGTATGGTGTGTGGCTCACACCAGACAGCACCTTTAGGTCGGCACTCACGTATGCAAACTTGATGACTCTGTGTGTACTTTTCCTTAGATGTCAAGAGTATGCAAATTATTGACAAAGTCTTTTGATGTTTTCTGAAAGCAAAAGGCCAACCTACTGCATATCCATTACCAATTATTGCAGTTAAGGAGACTAAATAGAAATATTGTCTGTGAAATCTAGGCCGTTCAATGTCTCCCAGGAGGGTATCTCTACTTTTCACAGACACTGTTTAATCAGAAGTGACTTTTCAGGTCCAGAAATTAATTATAAGTGACTGAGTACAGGGAAACTGACTCATCCTTTCCACACTCAAAAGAAAGTCCTGTATAAACCATAATGCTGATTTATTTATAAGAGAAATATAGTTATATTAGTTAAATATAATCAAGGGGGACGAAATGTTCTCCCTATGAAAATGTCTGCTTGAGAAGTCAGATATTAATCAGATATTGTTGGATGAACATGGATTCAGAGGACAATGATAATCTTAAGAAATGATTTATTGCCCTGGCCGGTTTGGCTCAGCGGTTAGAGTGTCAGCCTGTGGTCCGGAGAGACCCAGGTTCGGTTCCCGCTAAGAGCGTGTACCTCGGTTGCAGTTTGTCCCCGGCCCTGGTTGGTAGTGTGGGTGGCAGCCACTCGATGTGTCCCTTTCACATCGATGTTTCTCTCTCTCTCTCTCTCTTCCTGTCTCTCCCTCCCACTCTATCTGTACAAAAAATGGAAAAATGTGCTCGGGTAAGGATGAAAAAAAAAAAGGTTTATTTATGCCATGATTTGACCTAATAGAGCATCTCCAATTCATGACAGGAAACCAACTCTAGTGACAAATTCTCCTGCATCTCTGCCCCTCAGATGCAGCACCTTTGTCCCAAATGGCAAACTAAACTGAGTCCATGCTGCTACTATGTTAACTCTTCTGTTAAGGTAGTCTTTGTTCAAACTGGATATGATTGTCTAGGCTGTTACTTTAGACATGCTATTTCAATCTCCCTGCTACCTTAGATTTACTGCTTAGAGTGGGCTATCCTCCAGGTAAGTAACCTTGTGTTCATATTATTGATCTTAAATAATATGATTCTCACAAGTTTACTACTACCAAATTGATAATATGTTGCTAGTACAAATATATTCTACCTATATTATAATTGGGGATTAAACTTCCCTGATTTACTGGTTTAAGACTGTTTTTAAATAGTACTTATGGATTCCTTTGGAAGTAGGTGAAATTCACAGAATGGAAAAGGACTTAGACAAGAACAATAGAGAGAAAACGAAAAAGTGAATTATAACTATAATACCATATCAGAGTATGCCCTGGCTGGTGTGGCTCAGTTGGTTGAGCATCTTCCCATGCACTGAGAGGTCACTGGTTCCATTCCAGGTAGGGGGCATGCAGGAGGCAGCCAGCTGATCCATATTTCTCTCTCATCAATGTTTCTCTTCCTCTCTCCCTCTCCCTGTCCCTTCCTCTCCCTCTAAAATCAATAAAGACATATTTTGGGGGTGGGGGGATTATAGAAGAGCTATGCTTGACAAATAAAATGTGAAGATTAGAATGCATTTTCCCACAAAAATCAGGTTGTAAATAGTGACTGGGTATGCATGCCAGCCCAGATAACTACAATGAATCTGAAACAGCTGTCACCATGTGGGACTCTCCTTCCCTTTAAGACAGGGTTGTGTAGCTACTGGTGATGACTCTGTGGTCCAGGGCAGAAGCACTAATGTGGCACGGAGGGTAGTGAAGATGAAGATCATAGGGAAATAAGGACTACAGTAGTCAACGCCCCACCCCCATTACTTCTGAGGTTTAGATATACCCTTTATTTTATTCCCACTGATTAACCTGCCTGCTTCCATTTTCTTTGCCATAATCTGTTATGACCCACGTTTCTTTCCTTCCAGACCATTATGTTATGTAGAACCTAACATAATAAGTCTCTGAGTACCTCTGTATCAGAACAAAACTGGCTCAGGCTCTCCCAGACACTTCATAACAGAAATAATGGAGTGAGCCGATGGGGTAAGAGGCTAGAAATTGTAGCAGTTAAACTAAGGAAAATAGGAACAGTTTATGGGAGTATCTCAGCCTCCTCCCATACTGCCCCTTTCTGCACTCCAGAACACACTTAGGTTGGTCAGGGCTGCCACATTGCACAACTCCAGAGATGGTCATTCTTGCTAGTCTACAGTCTATGCAGCAATGTGTGGCTGTTCTGTGGTTGGCTCTGGGGTAAGGTGAGAAAGCCAGATAGTATGGGAGTTAAGAAGCAGTCCCAACGAACAACAGGTCATGGGGGGCGGGGATGAAGGCACAGGGATAGGGACAGGCACCTGAGTAGCTGTTCCCTAGAGGCCTTTTAAAATGTCAGACACTTCATATTTATTCTTCTCCAATACAAGTCAAAGTGAATGAGTGAAGAATTATCACATAAATTTTTTCTAAATAACCTCTGAATGGCTTTCATTGAGTAAGAAAATAAAAACTTGAAATATTATAAATATAGGTGAAGATTTAGAAATACAGAATGGAATTATTAATAACCAAGTAAAATTGATGTTCATTCTTTTCTAATTCTCCAGGATTTATTTCTCATTCCTTCTCTCTCATGGAATTGAAGTTCATTTATCATCATGTGCTCCCTGACCTGTCGGGAAAGCTCTTGGTTGATGTCGGCTCCAGGCTTGGCACAGTCCTTTATGGGGTAAAGTCCAGCTTGTGGACATACTCAACATTTGGAAAATACTTTCTTCTGCTAGCAACAGTTTTGCCTGCCACCATCCAAGGTGACAGCTTGGTTTTATTTATTAGAGTAACAGTAATAAAGTTAAAATATTATATTCAAAGGCCAGCTCTCTAATTTCCTTTATTAGTTTTGTCTCTGTGACACAGATAAAGGAATATCAACAAAACAGAAGCAGGTAACCCTCATGACACTCTGCTACTTTGTTAGTCACCTCTGCCTTTTAACCCTGTTTTCTTTGTACTGCACTAATATATATACTAGCTTTGATAAGAGCTCTTTTAAAACTGACAAATTTGCTTGACCTAGGAAATTGCGCATGGCCATAAGCAATCACCTAACACTTCTGGGCCTCAAGTTCCTCCCCTGTGAGCAAACTAATGATATCCAAGGACACATCTTGTTCCAATTTTCTGCCATCCAAAGTTTGAATGTAGATATTTATTTCTGAAATATCACTTCAATGTGGCTTTTTTTTTTAAATCATGAGTATTTTTAATGTTCTTAAATAGTTTAATCAAAAAACTGAAATGTGGTTTCTGGTTGTCATTAGCAGACTTGTTTAAACATGTGGCCAACAGCAGGAGAGGCTCATGCCAGAAACAGGCACAGTCAGTTCCCAGCATCGTTGCCGGCTCTAAACAGGAACAGCTACCTCTTCCATGCTTCATTTATTGTTGTGTTCAAACTTTTATTCTGTAATTAGGAAAGATAGCCATAATGGAAAAATACACAGTTGTCAGATGGTTTTGTTTGGAGAACATTACGAGATTATGATTGTTTACCATATTCTGTCCACTGTTGTCCATTTTTTAAAATTTGTTAAAGTATATAGCTGAAATAATTGGCTATGCAGGTATGTGGCAGCATGAATAAATTTAAACATATTGTAATTTTTCTTCATTTTAGGTCACTAATTCAGTCAACAAAAATATTTGAATACCTACATATGCTCTGTTGAACACATTCTAAAATCCATGATAGCTATAAATATAAATTTGGTATATACTTAGGTGTTCGTTGCTGTCAAATGATATTCAGAATATGATTTGACCTTTCCTTCCAGGTATTGTTTTGTTATTGACACCAAAATAGATGCATAACAATATATAGTCAATTCTTGATTTTCCTTGTTAACTAATTGGTCATTATTTTGGCAGATTGCCAGACAACAGGCTGACTTCCCTAAGCCAAATAGAACACACCTCCAGCTATTTTCCTCTATTGTCAGGCTGTGCATGATTTTCCAGTTGTTGTCCCCACAGGTTTACTCCTTTCTTGCTTTTCCCCTGATGCAACTTCCAAAGAAATTGCAGAAATAGGGTATTAAATAGAGAATCTATATGTGATCACTATTCTCATTTTCACTTTTATTGAATGCACAGTTTTTATTAGAAAAGGTAAGAAATCAGTCTTTACAAATATAATTACTTTTAAGTAATGGAAATTAAGTACAATTCAGTTCTTGATCAGTAAGTCTTTAAGTTCTTAAAGTTGTAAGTTTTACATAAACTACAAGATGTTATTTATCTTTTATTTTTATTTTATTGAATTCTGTTTTTAAATTTCAAGTAGTATTAAACCCACAATAAAAAGTTAATTAATTTGCATCCTATTGTATTCTCATATTTTAGGGTTATCTTTACAGTTCAGCATTGCAACTGTATGGAGTAGAATTGAATGGAGACTTTTGCCAGTTGCAGGAAATGATCATAAAAAAGTACCAGTTCACTGACAGAATAAAGGTATCCTTCCAAATATATATTCTGTTGTTCATTGTACAGCATAATTTAGCCAAACTTCTTCCTCATTGTAATTGGAAAATCTTTTTTAATCTATTCTTGGTTGCTATTGTATAGAAACAGATTTGAGTTGGCTTAATATTTTAAAACATTAATAAAGTTGAATTATTATCATTATATTCCACTCACATATTTCTCTTCCTCCTCAGTTTTATTAGAAAGTGGTTTTTTTATTTTTCCTTAATTTTCATCATATCATCTATAGTATTGGTAGCAGCATTTTTGAATGTCTAGAAGTTGGTCACAAGTGTATTTAGTTAAACTCTGAATGTAGAAAGTAGGCAAAAAGGTTAAGTAATGCTCACAGCTCTTTATTTTCTGTTTTTTTAAGCTTTCAGGAGGAACTGTGGATGCCACAGAATAGCAGTTCATGGGGAATGATGCCCTGGGTTAGGCTCCAACAGAAGTTTCCTCTTTTTCCTATATGTCAGCAATTTTCAACCTTTTTCTTTTTCTTCTTTTTAATCTTTATTGTTGAAAGTATTACAGATTTCCCCCCATTGACCTCCTACTCCCCACTCCCACCCGCCTCATGCTTTCCCCAAATCTCATGGCATACATAAACTAATTACTAAATATATTTTTTTTGCTGGCTTGATAGAAAATAGGTATAATTTTGATTGACTTACAAACATAATAATAATAGTAATTACCTACTCTTTTTGCTCCAAAGTGACTTTTAAAAATATCAGGCCCTGGCCAGTTTGGCTCAGTGGTTAGAGCGTCAGCCCACAACCAGAGAGTCCCGGGTTTGGTGTCCGCTAAGGGCACATACCTCAGTTGCAGTTTGTCCCCAGCCCGGTTGGGGTCGTGTGGGTGGCGACCAGTCTGTGTGTCTCTCTGACATCAATGTTTGTCTCTCTCTCTTCCCCCCTCTTTCCCTCCCACTCTATCTGAAGATAAATGCAAAAATGTCCTCGGGTGGGAATTAAAAAATCAGATGACTATACTTGTATATAAGGATTTCTGGTACCAAGAATTAACCACTTAAACACACCCTTATTATGTGATATTACCAGTAAGATGCAACTCTGTTATATGACCTATATATTTATAGTTCAAGACAGGGCATTCACACTGATGGCTACTGTTGTGTTGGCTGTTGTCATTTTTTCATTTGACAATCTAAAGAAAAAGAAGTCAGTGCCCCTGACTAGTCAGGTATTGCATGTTTTAAAACTTTTTACAGCATACTGGTTGAAAATCGCTGCTATATGTAAAGGGAAAAAAAGCAAAAAGGAAAAGGAAGTTTTTGGTTAATGAAGTAATTTTTATCATTTCAGTAATGATTCTACACTTTTAATGGCAATGCAGAGAAATATTGAGTATCTAATGATATCTGATGGTAAGAACAACCTAATGTTGAGAGTCATATCTCAGTAAGATTAAGGATCTAGCCTTGCCCTTTTATATAGAAAGAAATTTCATTTTTTCTCTCTCCTTCTATCCTTCCTTCTTTCTCTCATCTTAGAAGTAGAGAGGCAAATGATCAAAGCCAATCCATTGTCCAATAATAAATTCATGGATTTTTCTCACTATCCCATGTATATTGAAGCAAAACACAACTTTTGCATAATAAGAATCACATAACAAGAATATCATCAATTTAATTGGAAATGAGATTTCAATATTAGGACCTCTTAAGAATCACAGTTTAGCCCTGGCCGGTTTGGCTCAGCGGTTAAGAGCGTCAGTCTGCGGTCCAGAGAGAACCGGGTTTGTTTCCCACTAAGGGCATGTACCTCGGTTGCAGTTTGTCCCTGGCCCTGGTTGGGTTGTGCGGGTGGCAACCACTCGGTGTGTCCCTTTCATGTCAGTGTTTCTCTCTCTCTTTCTCTCTCTCCCTCCCACTCTGAACAAAAAAACGAAAAAATGTCCTCGGGTGAGGATTAAAAAAAAAAAAAGAATCATAGTTTATAAATGGACAACCAAGTAATTTTGTTGTGGTTTTGTTTTTGTTTTTAAAGAAGATGTTAAAGGCTTATAAAATAAGTATTAACATTTTAAAAGATATTTACTCTTTGCTTTTCAAAGGAGTACATGGACGCACACCCATGCACATACTTTCCCACTTATAGCTTTTGTGGTCATTAGCAACCCAATGGTAGAAAGCTCTTTTTATACCATTTATTGGCAACTTTAACAGTTAGTTTCCTTTTGTGAAACTAAAAACAAATGTTGGATTTGAGGGGCACTAAGACAACAAAAGGAATTCTAGGATTTTATTTTTATAGTATCTGTTGAAATCAGTTAGCCTTCAAGGCTCAGTCTTTGCTTTTCTGTTTTGTTTTTGTTCTTGTTTTTTTGTTTTGTTTTTTTTTAACAGGGCTTTCCTTAGAAGTCTAGGAATCCTTTATTGTCTGTTCATACTTAAGAGTGAGAAACAAAAATTCTAATTGAAGTTCTTTTTTTTATTATTGAATTTATTGGGGTGGTATTGGTTGAAGTTCTGACTGAAGCACTTGAGTGGAGATTCTGAGCACTGTGGGCTTCACTGTTGATTCATATCCTTTGGGTAATTAATTAGTTGGAGAATATCTGATGAAGTATCTTAAGATCTTTCCTCTTGTGCTGGTCTGATTGCCCAGAGAAAACCTTTTCAATCTCCTTACTGATTGGCAAGCAACATATTGGGAGCAGAAAAAAACTAGAGAAAGGTATGGAGTTCTCAGCATCTTGTCTGCATATTTCCTTAATTCCTTTGTTTTCGGCATATTATCATTTCCTTCAGCTAGGTCTGGTGTCCCCTGGCCCAGAGACCTTCTGTTTTACCCTTTCTAGAAAATAAACCTCTATTCTTCTGCTGCTGGGGTAGCAGAAAGGTATATAGGGATCTGGCTGTTTCTTAAATGAACTTTCAACTAAATTACCTTATTTTTAGCATTTCTTCTGACTCCACTCAGAGATAATTGGTACCACCAATTGTGAGCCCTTTGAAGATTCTGTAATATAAATCACATTTAGGTCTCAGCTTTCCATATTTTTAGCTTAGAAATCAATTTTCTCAGGTCTCCAATCTCTTTATTACATCCCCATTTTTTTCTGACTTATAAATTTTATGTATGTATTTTTATTCCCATTCTCCTCGTCCTGGGAAAGTACACCTTATATTTTAAAAACCTGTTATTGTTAATGGAGTTTCAGGGAAGTACAAGAGTGCGTACATGTGTCATCCATGGAAGACCCATTGATTTAAATTCTTTCTTCCCTTTCCTCCAGGCTATAAGTAAACTTCCCTTCCTTCATATCTGGCTCAGTTTTTTTATGGTACTTTTATATAGAGTTATCAGCATAGCTGTTTCATCTTCTTACCAGATTTCAATGTATTTGAGAGTAGATATTATATCTCATTCACCATGGTATGTCTCCCTACACAGTATCTAGGAGATGCCCATTAGAAATTGCTTAAATTGATTTTGGTTGCCTTGTGGCCTCTGCATTGTTCCATTCCAGTTTATCCAGAACCATTCCCTGGGATTTCCCTGGGACTTCTAGAGCAAGCACCTCTGTCAGTTGCAATAACTAATTGATCACCTGATTCTTTTTTTATCTTACCTGTGGGGTGGGGGACTGAACAGAGACGGGAAAGAAAAAGAGGAAATTGTGTGAAAGCTGTGCTATATCAATAGGTTAATTTACATACCTATTTTATATCTAAGCTACATATTTAGAAGTTTAAAGTGATTAACTGACTGTTTTTTCTGTGTTCAGGAACATACCAAACCTATGCTTCAGAGGTTCCAGGCCATCTTAATTTAAATTATTTTAGTATTTTTATTACTTTAAAAAAAGATAAAATAATTTTTTAAATCAGTCTACACAACATTCTGAATATTATATATTTGTAAGACTAATTGTTTATTTGGAAAGAAATCATGTGATACAAAGTAGATAAACTTTTTCTCTTTCTAAAGTAAAAGTTGTTTGCCCTACCTGAGTGGTTCAGTTGGTTGGAGCATCATCTCTAGCACCAAAAGGTTTTGGGTTTGAATCCTAGTCAGGGCACATCCTAGGTTTCAGGTTTGATCCCCAGATCAAAGTTTCTCACCTCTCCCTCTCCTCTCCCCTCTCCCTCTCCCTCTCCTCTTCCCTCTCCCACTTCCCCTTGCCCCTCTTTCCGTCCCCTTCTCCCCCTATTCCCCTCCCTCTCTCCCATTCTCTCATCTTCTCTTTCTAAAATCAATAAAATTGCCCTGGCCAGTTTGCTAAGTGGTTAGAGCACCGGCCTGCAGTCCAGAGACCCAGGTTCGGTTCCCACTAAGGGGGCATGTACCTCGGTTGCAGTTTGTCCCCGGCCCCAGTTGGGGTCATGTGGATGGCAGCCAGTCGATGTGTCTCTCTCATGTCGATGTTTCTCTCTCTCTCTCTCTTCTTCCTTCTGTCCCTCTCACTCTATCTGAAGATCAATGCAAAAAAAAAAAAAAATTTAAAATCAATAAAATCATATCCTCAGGTAAGAATTTAAAAAAATAATAAATAAACAAACAAACAAAATAAAAGTTGTTTGCTTTGCTCATGAGCAAATAAATGTTTTTTCTTGTTATATTGCCTGTATGTCTATAAGACTTGGTGATTGTGGTCTAAGGTAATTTTTTAGGTATATAGCTTTTATGTTGTTGTTGTTGTTAATCCTCACCCAAGGATATTTTTTCATTTATTTTTTTAGATAGAGTGGAAAGGAATGAGGGGGAGAGAAAGAGAAAAACATAGATGTGAGAGAGACATATCAATTGGTTGTCTCCTGCACAACCGGACTGAGGCTGGGGATGGAACCTGCAACCCAGGTACATGCCCTTGACCAGGAATCAAGCCTGCGACTCTTCAGTCTGCGAGCCAATGCTCTAACCGCTGAGCAAACCAACTAGGGCTGAGGTGTATAGCTTTTAAATAAATTGTTTTTGTTTGCTGTTTTGGATAGATAATATATTCTATTATATTTTAGAGGAAGAGTTGGACAAGGCCAATTAACATATTATGTTAACATTTTATAATTTATGTTACTTTTTTTTTTTATCCTCACCCGAGGATATTTTTTCATTTTTTATTCAGATAGAGCGGGAAGGAGAGAGAGGAAGAGAGAGAAACATGGATGTGAAAGGGACACATCAAGTGGCCGCCACCCACACAACCCAACCAGGGCCAGGGACAAACCGCAGCCAAGGTACATGCCCTTAGCAGGAACCGAACCCAGGTCTCTATGGACCGCAGGCTGACGCTCTACCGCTGAGCCAAACTGGCCAGGGCATAATTTATAAGTTACTTTTATGGTCCCAATTGATCTATGAATCAAGACAGATATTCTATTTTATTTATGAGACCCTGACTACCTAAGTGTACAAACCTAGTTGATGATGGAGCCAGAACTTGATGACTCTTACAACTAGTGGTATAGTCTCCCCTTATCTGTGGGGGATACATTCCAAGACCCCCTGAAACTGTGGATAGTACCAAGCCATATATATAGTATGGTTTTTCCTATACATACATACCTATGATAAAGTTTAACTTATAAATTAGGTACAATAAGAACTTAACAATAACTAATAATAAAATAGAACAACTATATTGTAGTAAAAACTATGTGAATGTGGTCTCTCTCTTCAGTAATTTTCATATTTTTCAGTTCAAACCATCTACTTTCAGTAAACGTCATGGTGTCACTTGTTTCAGGGGATCACTTGCTGAATGAAGTCTTTGTGTAGGCTCAGTCTGGCACAACACATTGCTGTCAGTGGGAACAAGTTTTCTGTTTATGTCTGCCACCCACAAATGTAATGATCCTTCCATGTTAACTAAGCACTCAACATGCACTGTGGCTATAACTTTTGCAGTTTGAGATGCAATGCAAAACTAGCATAAATTTCTTTTTTCTTCTCCACAATTTTATAGATAGATTTGTTCTTACCATAGATCTTAACAATCTCAGCATATAATTTTTTTTCTTTTCTTATTAAGTCTAGAACTTTTACCTTTTTATCTAAAGGGAGAACTTTAGGGCTTTTCTTTGGCATATCTGAATTGCCAGCGTCACTACTATTGCTCTTAAATAAAATAAGGGTTACTTAGACACCAGCACACTGATATCTCGACAGTCAATCTGATAACCAAGACGGCTGGCTACTCAGTGACCAACAGGCAGTACCATCTACCACGTGGATGTGCTGGACAAAGGGATGATTCATGTCCAGGCAGGATGGAGTGGGACAGTGTGAGAGTCCATTGTGCTACTCAAAACAGTCCACAATTCAAAATTTATTATGAATTATTTATTTCTTAGATTTTACATTTAATATTGTCAGACCATGGTTGACCATGGGTAATTGTCACTATGAAAATCAAAACCGCCCTGGCCGGTTTGGCTCAGCGGTTACAGTGTCGGCCTGCGGTCCAGAGAGTCCCGGGTTCGGTTCCCACTAAGGGCACGTACCTTGGTTGCAGTTTGTCCCCGGCCCTGGTTGGGTCGTGCGGGTGGCAGCCACTCGATATGTCCCTTTCACATCGATGTTTCTTTCTCTCTCTCCCTCCCCACTCTATCTGAACAAAAAATGGAAAAATGTCCTCGGGCGAGGATAAAAAAAAAAAAAAGAAAAGCAAAACCATGGATAAGGGGGAACTACTGTAGTGGATAAAGCTCTATACTGGGAGTCAAAAGAGCATACTTATGACTATATAAATTCCACCTAAAACAAATAAACAAATTTTCACAAGTTTATGGTTTTTATTAGATATTATATCTCATAGGCAGTAATATTAAATAGACTGAACTTTCTCCCATTTTAAGAAGGCTTAATCCTGGGGGGGATGACAGGAGTAGGTTGGAGGGGGTCAGTGGGGAAAAGGGGGGAGACATCTGTAATACTTTCAACAATAAAGATAAATTTTTTTTTTTTTTTTTTTTTTTTAAATCCTCATCCGAGGACATTTTTCCATTTTTTGTACAGACAGTGTGGGAGGGAGAGAGAGGAAGAGAGAGAGAGGGAAACATCGATGTGAAAGGGACACATCGAGTGGCTGCCACCCGCACGACCAACCAGGGCCGGGGACAAACTGCAACCAAGGTACACGCCCTTAGCGGGAACCGAACACGGGTCTCTCCGGACCGCAGGCGGACGCTCTAACCGCTGAGCCAAACCGGCCAGGGCAAATTTTAAACATATATATATATATATATATATATATATATATGTATGTATGTATATGTATACACACACACACACACATATTTCTTTTTAAGAAGGGTTAACTTCACATATTACCTCACAGCATTATGGAAGCAATAGATAGTTCTTCTGTGATTCTATGATATGGTATCTTTGTTCACGTAAATGAACTCTTTCGTCTTTAGGTGCTTCATGCAGACATCTGTACCCAGGATGCACTTCTGCAAAATGCCGATGTTGTTATAATGAATAACGTCTTCGAATATTTTCTTGATGAGGTAGAACAAGCCAGGTACGTTATTTATTCAAGCAAGAAGAAGTCTGTTGTTATCTAAAGTATGTAAAAGGATTGATGAAGTAGAAATGTTTTCATATTAAACTTTTTTTTTAATGGCCTCAACTGTGAGGAGATTATATTAAAAAGAAAATGTATTCTATATAAAACAAAAATAAAAATAAACTGCCTAACTTTGTGAAATATTACATCTAATTTTAGGCAGATATAAAATGAGATCATGACCCAAGCATTTGCTTATCAGTCAAGGATGAATTAAGATTTCAGTGCCTAGTGGGCCTTTATACTTACTCTTTCCTGCTTCAGTTTTCTTTTCTTGCAAAAAATATGCCATATGCTATCCTATCACAAAATGTTGGGAATTAACTAAAGCCTATAAATGAATATAAAACAAGATATAAGAATAATTAACCAAAATTGTGATTACTTGTCAAACTTGAAAGATGTTTTTAAGGAGTAATAAATAGTAGGTTCCTGGAGTTTATTCAAGTAATGGAAAAATTAGCAAATCTACAATCACTTCTTTCTGCCACAATTTAATGCTTTGTGACCCATAAGGACTTAGAGGTCCTTTGATTAGAAAATTAGAAAATTCCTATAGTCTGTATTCTGAGACACTGATTTTCTGGCTAGTTAGGCTTGCTGACTTCTTATTTATCATAGGGTCATATGTATACTCTCAATGCGGTAAAGCTCAGCTCCTTTCCATATGTATGAAAGGGAATTACACAAATGTTTGGATTACCTCAGAGAAATAAAAATGCATATAGAGCAGACCAGAAACATTTAATAGTGGAATTTTGAATGGCTAAATGTCTTTACTCTGCCACCCCTTACCTTCCATATGCTGCCCCTGACCACCACTTTTTCTCTCACACACATGTACAGCTCTGCCCATTATTAGGAGTTAAGGTCACTACAAAATTAACTATTTAAATAGTTTAAAAATAAACTGCTTCATCAGAAAGCTAATCATATAATCAAAGCTGAGCCAGAATGAGTGATGATTTTTGGTCACAGGCTAAAGATAGAAGCACAACATGAGCAACGTTGTTTTAATCATAGTGTTCTCTTTAAGCTTAATTTCCAGTGGACAAAGTATGCTTAGCTTTTACCTTTTTAAATTAATGACCAGTAGCCAAAACATTACATAATTGTTGGAGAATGAAATATTCCCAGGTTTGTGTTGTATAAGAAGTTTTGAAACACCTTAAACTCTTTGGAGCTTTATTATAGACAGATTTTGAATGTTGAATGATGAAAGCTCCTGTTGAACTCGATACTGGAAATACTGCATGTTTGGATTGTTTTAAAAGTTCTCAGTGCATTTGATCACAAAATCTACATGATTCACTGAGTAGGTATTGACCACCTGTGTTAGTGCAGTCATTTTTTTCCTAAATTAGTCTCGCACAGTAAATTCTGAATCTAGATAAGTTATAGCCTCTTATGATTAGTTATCTCCATCTTGAATGATAATTCATAAGAGAAAGGTTAGACGATACGGTAAAGCATTCTGATACTGGAATTGTTCTGAGAAAACTGATCATTTACCCATATTAATTCCATATTGTAGTAAGTACAAGAGAATACACAGCACAGCATATGGCCTCCAAAGATTTGTAACCTTAATGAAGTGGAATGGTACTGCCATAGGAGTTAGTACATAAGGGAAAACAGATATATCATAATAGTAGAAAATGTGTACTCAGGAAAGGCTCAGCCTTCAGAATAAGTTAGACCTGATCACAGAGTAACACCCAGATTGTAGAGTAAGTATTAGTTTTAAAAATGTCTCTATGGCCCTGGCCAGTTTGACTCAGTGGTTGGAGTGTTGACCCGCGGACCAGAGAATCCCGGGTTCGGTTCCCACTAAGGTCACATACCTTGGTTGCAGTTGGTCCCCGGCCCTGGTTGGGGTCATGTGGGTGGCAACCAGTCTGTGTGTCTCTCTCACATCGATGTTTCTTTCTCTCTTCCTCCCTCTCTCCCTCCTGCTCTATCTGAAGATAAATTCAAAAATGTCCTCAGGTGAGGATACAAAAAAAATTTTTTTAAATATCTCTATGGCCCTGGCCAGTTTGGCTCAGTGGTTAAAGCATCCGCCCACAGACCAAAGAGTCCCGGGTTCTATTCCGATCAAGGGCACGAACCTTGGTTGCAGTTTGTCCCCGGCCCTGATTCGGGTCGTGTGGGAGGGAGCCAGTCAATGTGTCCCTCTCATGTCCATGTTTTTCTGTCTCGCTCTCTCTCCCTCCCTCCCACTCAATCTGAGGATAAATAGAAAAATACCCTCCGGTGAGGATTAAAAAAGAAAAAGCGCCTCTATGTATTTATTGTTTTAGTAGGTGACACAGATACAACTACTACCATGACAGCTCCCAGATGCAGTTAAGTACTATTTTGAGAGCCATGCCCAGTATACTCAGCTTCTTCATTCTTATTAAATAAACTTGTAAAATATGTCATTTTTAAGAAACCACATAAAAAAACACACACATGCAACAACAGCTCTAGCCCAAACACAGTGATATTTATTATCAAACTCTGCCATATGATTTTAGATCCAGCCTGAGAAAAAAACTATCATTTTGCCTAGTGAGCTCTAGAATGTACTAAACTAATATCCACTGCTATAGTAACTACAATAAGTGCACATGACACAGCTGCTCACCTGCCCCACTGCAGGAGATGCACATCTCTGCTTTGCTTGACCGTTGCTCCCAGTAGTGGGGCGTGCTGTAGAGGCTCAGCGTAGAGATCCAGTCATGTCTGCACTAGATTAATCAGAGCTGGTCAGGCACTGCCCTCTGACACATGCACATGGCCTTCCATCGTGATTTAAACCTGGCTGATCCCACTAAATTCTCAGGTGCCAAATTGTCCAGAAGTCTTCCCATTGAATATTTTTTTAATTTTTTTTTTTTTTTATCCTCACCTGAGGATAGTTTTCCATTTTTTGTACAGATAGAGCGGGAGAGAGAGAGAAGAAGGGAGAGAGAGAGAGAAACATCGATGTGAAGGGACACATCGAGTGGCTGCCACCCGCACGACCAACCAGGGCCAGGGACAAACTGCAACCGAAGTACGTGCCCTTAGTGGGAACCGAACCCGGGTCTCTCCGGACCGCAGGCCGACGCTCTAACCGCTGAGCCAAACTGGCCAGGGCTTCCCATTGAATATTTATGACAACCAAATAATGATTTCACTTTTGATTTATTTTTTATAAAAACCTAATCTCTATATTATATACCTTATTGTTCATTTTCACTTGGTGTCTGGTTTCTGTGGCCTTTCTCCATGACTGTTCCCCACCTCTACCCCTCAGTCCAATTCTCTACTGCAGAACCATTTTTGATACCCTTCATAAAGAATTTAAGGGCCTCTAACTGATACAGTTTGACTTCTGAATCCGTCCTTTTTTTTTTTTTTCCTAATTGGTTCTGAAACTGAGTCTTGGTTTCACTCACAACACTTTGTAGTAACCCAAATCACAATCTTGTTAAATCTTATCAGTACTATAATGTCGCCGTTTTGCCAACACCACCCCCCCTTCAGGAACTGAAGAATTTACCAATTTCTAGTACGTTGCTGCAGTCTTGTTTTCTACAAGCAAACATTTTTGACTGCCTGGATTTCGAGACACCACCTGTGCTGGATTTTCTTTTGTCATCCTCATTTTTTTTAATATCCAGTGTCTGGTAAAACCTAACATGCAGTTTTTAATGTGTTGTAGAGCCTGGGAATATATCAGCCATAATGTAAGGAAACAAGGATCCTTATTAGTGACAGTACCAAGTATTGAAGAGTCTCTCTCAGGTCTTCAGGTATGTAAGCCTTCCCAGCATTTTTATTGTCAACATTTTTATTCTACTTTTTTCTGATAGCTGTTAACAATTTTCTAGAAACATTCTCTCTGAATAATGTGACACATGATAGAAAGTAGCGAGAACGTATGGCTTAAGAACTGGTTTGTGCTGTGTTAACTGGCCTCAAGAGCTCTCAAGTTGTCTTTCTTATGCTGATACATACTCCCTTGCGGCTTCACTCCATTTTCCAGCTGTGGGGTTACACTTTTAGGATGACATATGCTAGTAAATGTTTGTTAAGAGGCTTTGAACACCCACATCATAACTTTTCAAGTTATTCAAGGTTGTAGAATCAAATAAGTAAACTGGAGGCCACGCAGTTTAGCTTCTAGGTCAATTTAAAATCTCACACAAACCACTTTTCCTCAGATTCTTCGTATAAAATAAGGTTGATGTTTAATAAGAAGATTCAGCCCAATAAACTGATTCTTGTATAAGGTTGATTAGTATTGGTAAAGCTCTTTGAGATCCAGATGAAAGATACTGTTATATTTCTTAATACAGTATTATTATTTTCTTTAGTAGTGTTTTCCTTATATATAAGCACTGCCAAATTTAAGGATCTAATTTTTTTTCTTTAAAAAAACTAAATAATCATCAATAATACCTTTTAAAGATATTTGGTCAAGGAGAAACATCTGTAACAAAAATAAATAAATTGATTAAATAAAAAATAAAATAAAATAAATAGGGGTGGAAATAGTTTTGCCATTCATTGATTGTTCATGAGCTTTAATAAACAAGTGAAATATTAAAAAAAAAAAAAAAGATATTTGGTCAATCGCCTAAATTACAAAAGTAATTCATGTTTGCCATGACAAGGGAAATAATCCATAGATACATAAAGAAAAGATTAAGTTAGTCTCCCCAATTCCCCGCCCCCTACTTAACTCTTTCCCATGAGATCCCTACCCCTTGAGTGTGTGATCCTACTATACTTTTCCATACTCATAAAAACATACCTTTATTTTTTTTTAATCCTCACCCGAGGATATATATTTTTACTGATTTTAGAGAGTGAGAAAGAGAGACATTGATGTGAGAGGGAAACATTGATCAGCTGCCTCCTACCAGGGAGATTGAACCCGAAACCTAGGTACGTGCCCTGACCCTGAATCCAACCCACAGCCTTTTGCTGTTGGGGTCAATGCTCCAACCAGCTGAGCCACCCAGCCAGGGCAAAAACATATCTTTTAAAATATGTGGTCTCCAATTTATAATCTCTATATATATTGAAACAATTCAGTTATTTTACAAAAATAACAACTTTCAACCAAATGCATAAATTTGTCTAGATAACCACTGGAAAGTAATATTTATAAAAAGAGTCTTTATACATAAATTCCTTAATAACTTGATAGCTTTCCTATTTAATGAAACTTCTTTAAACAAATATATATCTATTGGTGACTCCAGAACTTCTGTCATGGAGACTGAGTTTGCAATGTGAAGGGAAGGGCCTGATGAAGGTTATGGAGGGAAATTAGCCCTGTTCATGCAACCGCTTAGCACTATCAGTGTGTATATATGAGCAGTTTTCCATGTTTTCCCACTGTTGTTTTAGTATTTTATTTTTTAAGCCTCATGATAATTATTAAACTATTTACCTTAAAACAATTATGCTATTCTGTATTTTCTTTATTCTTTAAAATTCCAAAATCAGAGTAAATGAATTAAATCCCTGAATCCACAGACCATTTAGTACAACATGTACCATTTAGTACCACAAAGAATTGTTCATGTGGCACCACGTAGACCTTAGTCCTGCTCATTGTAATAAAAATCTGTTGTGTTTAGTTAGTCATGATTTCTTCCAGAAAATAGTATTATTCTACAATATTTATGTTTGTCATCTTTTTTTTTCCAGGTTAATATACAGTTATCCCCCTGGGTAGAAGAGGTACCACTGAACTATGACGTATACCCAGGAAACGATATTGACAGGGAAGCTCTTGAACAAATACATTTATATAAGATCCTCCAGCAGTAGAATAGCCCTACCTCAGTGTAATGTTTTTTGAGCATATTACAAAATAATGAAAAAGACACATAACCCCAATACCCAACACATATTTTTCTGTGTATTCCTTGCTAGCTTTGCATATATGTTTACATATTTATAAATAGTTGCATATGTATATATATGCAACTTTGATTTGTGTCATAATTTAATTAAAATATTTATCTGAAATTTTTTGTTTTCCTCTGGTTCCTTTTATTCCATTACAAATATAAATGTCTTGAGATTTGACGAGCTCTCACGAGACCTAGGTCTCTTCTCAGGCCGGCGCTCACCAAGGGGAAGGCCGTGTTCAGCTCAAGCGCCAAGTTCGTGAAGCCCAAAGGCGAGAAGCCAGACGCATTCGAGTCCGGCATCTCCCAGGCTCTGCTGGAGCTGGAGGTGAACTCGGACCTCAAGGCCCAGCTGCGGGAGCTGAACATCGCAGCGGCCAAGGAAATTGAAGTTGGTGGGGGTCGGAAAGCTATTATAATCTTCGTTCCGGTTCCTCAACTGAAGTCCTTCCAGAAAATCCAAGTCTGGCCGGTTCGCGAGTTGGAGAAAAAGTTCAGTGGGAAGCACGTTGTGTTCATCGCTCAGAGAGAATTCTGCCCAAGCCAACGAGAAGCCATACAAAGAAGCAGCAGAAGCGTCCGAGGAGCTGCACACTGACCGCAGTGCACGATGCCATCCTGGAGGACTTGGTTTTCCCGAGTGAAATTGTGGGCAAGAGGATCTACGTGAAGCTAGACGGCAGCCGGCTCATCAAGGTGCATCTGGATAAAGCGCAGCAAACAACGTGGAGCACAAGGTTGAAACTTTTTCTGGTGTCTGTAAGAAGCTCATGGGCAAGGACGATAATTTTGAATTCCCAGAGTTCCAGTTGTAAGCAAAAATGACTAAATAAAAGATCCTTCTCAAAAATATATATATATTTTATATATATATAATATATATGTATATATATATATATCTTTCTTTAGTCATTACCTCTGTATACCAAGTCCAGATACAATAATTTTTTTAAAAGACCAGAAGTAGCTTATATCAAGAGAAGGGTGGAGAGGGAGGTAAGTTACATTGTATCCCAATTATTAGGTCTCTATTCTGTAAGATTCCTTGTATACAGCTTTATCTGAAGAGTCTAGCACAAGGACTGAAATAAAAAATAATTATAGTTGCTAGGGAAAAGCAAAACTAGAAAGGCAGCCTCCAAAATATAGAGATTATATCTAGGTGGAACAGTTACTGGTGTTTTTGTTTTTGTTTTTTCCTTCTCTATGCTTCTGTATTTTTTTTTTCCCCTATAATGACTATTTCTTTTGAAGTCAGGAAAAGGAAATTTTTTTTTTTTAAGAGTACAATGGAACATCAAAACTTGAACACTTAACTTGTTCTAGTAATCTCATATTTAGTATTCTATTTAAATTACTTTTTTAAACTAAACTAACCCACATTTTGGAATTGCAGGACCTTTTGGAGATCTATCTGTTGAAAGGGTTTATCTCATATATTTTTTGTAATTACCTGCTTATGAAAAAGAATTGGTAGTAGCAGTCAATTCTAACTTTCAAAAGGAAGTTATTGGTCAATAGCTAAACAAAATGTTAGAAAGACAGATATTTGGACTTTTACTGTTGATATTAACAATTTTAATATTTAGGATTTAGTATAATACTGAATATCTGAATAAATGCTGGAATTCCAATAATTTCTAATTTCATACAGGCATTACTTATTCCTGCTAACTCATTAAACATTTTTTAAAATTAATTTGAAAGAGAGAGATTGATTTGTTGCTCCACTTACTTATGCATTCATTGGTTGATTCTTGTATGTGCCCTGACCAGGGATCAAACCCTCAACCTTGGCATATCAGGACAACACTCTAACCAACCATGCTAATTACCCAAAAAGAAGAGCAGAGTTTGGAAGTCACTAACAATTTCTGGCATCAGTAACAATTGGTGGATGTTTCCAGGATGTTATGCAGAATTTCTGAGATTTTGGAAAAGGATTTCCAGAAAAAGAGAAAAAAATTACAAGTATTTTTTTTATTTTACTTTATTGTTGACAGTATTACAGGTGTCTCCTGTTTTCTCCAAAAATTACAAGTATTTCTAAATAGCTTGTAGCTGTTAGTCATATGATTATTTATACATAATTAAATGTATTTATTGGTTTATCGTGATAACATATTTAGGCACCTAAATTTCACATACAATAAACAATACTGACTGTAGCAAATAGTGAGAGCATTACATAAGGTATGCATAGTAATCATCCATGAAAAAATGAATTTATTAGCAATATGGCACATATTCACAAACATGTAACAATTACTGAATTTCACTTTATGCTGTACCTATTCTTAAGAAACTATATTTCCTAAACTCTGAATCCTAGTTGCCATGTTTATTTGAATGTTTCTCAGAGCATGAATATGCTCTAAAGCAAAATATGTTGCAATAGCTCTTGGTGAGTGCCAGACTCCCATTCTTAAAAACCCTGGATGGACAGAAGGAGAGGTAACACTAGCAACACTCAGGACGATGAAGGGGGGATCATTAGTCCCTCATCTGTAATATAAAAATAAGAATTCAGGCCCTGGCCGGTTTGGCTCAGCGGTTGGAGCGTCGGCCTGCGGTACAGAGAGACCCAGGTTCGGTTCCCGCTAAGGGCATGTACCTCGGTTGCAGTTTGTCCCCGGCCCTGGTTGGTCGTGCGGGTGGCAGCCACTCGATGTGTTCCTTCACGTCGATGTTTCTCTCTCTCTCTCTCTTCCTCTCTCTCCCTCCCGCTCTATCTGAACAAAAAATGGAAAAAATGTCCTCGGGTCAGGATAAAAAAAAAAAAAAGAATTCAGCGTGGCCGGTGTGGCTCAGTAGATTCAGCATCGTCCCATGGACTGAGAGGTCCCAGGTTGATTCCCGGTCAGGGCACATGCCTGGGTTGCAGGCTCGATCCCCAGTAGGGGTTGTGCAGGAGGTAGCTGTTCGATGTATCTCATATAGATTGTTTCTATCTTTCCCTCTCTAAAAAATAAACATATTAAATATAAATAAATAAGAATTCAGCTGTCAGTGGAATATATAGTCAAGAATACAGGTTATAGGTGGTTACCATAGATAAGTGATTAAAATTACAGAAATAATGGGCAATATTGTTTAAAGATTGTCTTTGCTATGATTGTAGACATGTCAAAATTAACTATGGATTTTTAATTGATGGAGTGAAAAAAAGTTATAAACAGTCTAAAATCTTGGAAAACATCCCGTGTGATAGGTATATACCAATAAATTTTTAAATAAATGCCTGAAGCAAATTAGAACTAGAGGATATTGAGGAGGTATCTCTATACCGGTATTAATATTCTGCATGTAGAGTTACTTAGCTTTATTTTTTAATGTTTATGTTTGTCTAGAGACAATTACTGTGGTTATAAAGGCTAGGTTCTTATTTTAGGAGAATTTTTGGTGTTGAAGTTTTTCACTTCTCACAGCTTGTCGCTCCTCAGACTCCATCACCCTCTCTACTCAGTGATGTCCATGCAGTGTGTCTCAAAGGCAAGGAGGGGAGGAGAGTTAAGATATTTTCATATTTCAGCAGCAAATGAAAAATACACAAAAAGAAAGACATTTTTTCATATAGCATTACTTGTGTTCAAACAACTGAAAACATTAAGGTTACAGTGAATATCCAAATTATTTAGCTCTTTACCTCATAAAATATATGACAAATTTGATAGAAAACAGAAAATTAAGTTGCTTATTAGGACAGTAGGACTTTTTCTCTGCCAGTGTTCCTTTAAAGTTAGTCAACTTCACAGAACTTTCCCAAGTTGTGTCACCTCTTTCTCTCACCTAACCTCCAGTCCCCTCTCCTAATGAAGATGCCTTTGAGGTCCTGTCTGGGGATAGCACAACATAAACATTCCAGAATTTAATGAAATCTTCAAAATCAGTAGACATTGTAGTTTCTACTGATTGCAAGTTTACAGCCATGCAACTAACTATTAATTGCGCTAATCACGCAAACACATATGAAGCTCACCACTGTACATCTAGCTTTCTGTCACTCTGCAGGTACAAAAATGGAACACTTGCTTCCACCCTGACGGATCTTAACTGTAAGGAGCCAGAGAAACACGTTGGTTTATTTATTTATTTATTTACTTATTTATTTTTGTTACAAATGAGAAGTGTCGTTTTATTCAGTACATAGTAGCAGGTTTCTGGACCTGAACTTGAAGACAAGTCCTTGTCTAGCCCCTCACCTTGAATTGGGGAACAGGCTCAGGCAGGGACACATTGTTTAGATGTAGGGGAAGGAAAGATAGATGGTCCTGGTAGAGGGAATAGCCTATGCAGAGGCACACAGCATAATGAGTAATATATATATATATATATATATATATATATATTTTTTTTTTTTAATTGTACTTTACATTCAATATTATTTTGTATTAGCTTCAGGTGTACGGCATAGTGGTTAGACAGTCCTATACTTTACAAAGTGTTCCCCTCAGTATTTCCAGTACCCACCTGGCACCATACATAATTATTGCAGTATTATTAACTATATTTTCTTTTTTTTTTTTTTTTTTTTTTTATCCTCACCCGAGGACATTTTTCCATATTTTGTTCAGATAGAGTGGGAGGGAGAGAGAGAGAGAGAAATATAGACGTGAAAGCGACACATCGAGTGGTTGCCACCCACACGACCCAACCAGGGCCAGGGACAAACTGCAACCAAGATACGTGCCCTTAGCGGGAACCAAACCCGGGTCTCTCCGGACCGCAGGCCGACGCTCTAACCGCTGAGCCAAACCGGCCAGGGCTACTAACTATATTTTCTATGCTGTACCATAATGGGTACTTTTGTATGACTAGAGCCCAGGGTAGCATTGCATGAGGTTGGTGAGGTAGATGGGTGCCAGGTCAGGAAGGACATGGTCTGCCAAGCAAACAAGATCACATTTTATTCTGAGAGTCAGGGTGAGCCATTAAAAGATTTTTAAGCAGCATATTGATATGACCACAATAAAATTA